GAAATGTCTTTTAATCCACATGAATTCAACACACTATAGTAAACAGATCAATGGAGGCAGAAGATGTCTTTCAGTCATCAATGCTCACATTCAGCGACACACAGGAGCTCTTTCAAGCTGGACACCGTTTCATTCACAACACCTGTCCCATCAACCAGGAATCAGAAATACTTTAATAATCCCAGGGAGAAATTACTTTAGTTACATTACTCCATCTGTAATAGAGTGACTATAGGACCAGTTTGATAGAACACAGTTTCATAAAATATATATAATTAGGGGTCCCTGCTACACCTCGCCATCAGTTTGGGGGTCCTTGGCCTGGAAAACGTTGAACCCTAACCCTAACCCGTTGCTTTAGAGTATAGAAAAAAATAATAATATAAGAACAGTACCTGAAGGGAAAATGCCTGCTTGCCTCTCGGCGGTCTCCTTTGTGTCCCTCACATAAAAGGTGAGCTTCACTGGCCGGACTACCTTTGAGCCTGGCTTCTGCAAGTTTTCCAAGTAGCCATTCAATCTCTTCAAAGAATTTTCATTCACTTCCTGTCCAAAAAAACAGAATCAAAATGCTTAGATGTTTTTACCTTTTGCCGTATTAGAACCGTAAAATCAAGGACTTTTTATAATGTCTTTGTAATAATCCACCATACAAAGTGGCATATAATTGTGTACAGAAAGGAAAATTATCAATATTAAAAGTTTTAGAATAAAATATTTACAGTATTTATAGTTCATTTGTGTGGGAAATAGGGTTTCATGTATAAAAATATATTAGGTATCTATAATCTTATCGGTTTGTTATTGTTTGACTGCAAAAACAGTGTACAAAAAAAATGTACAAATTTCTTAAAATAATTGTAATGACCCTTAATTTGCGAAGCTAAATAAGAGGATCTGCCATTGAAATGAGCATTTTTACTCTTAAAATAAGATAATTAGATATTATGCACGTGAAATAAGAGACTGTAGTTGTTTTTCCTTATTTCAAATTTTAATTATCTTAGGCAATTGGCAAATTGTCTCACTTACCTGCTCAATTAAAAAAAAAAAAAACTATTTTAAGAGAAGTTGAAACCCAAATTTCAAATGTTTATGTAGTGTAATATTAGCTTTAAGGCTAATTATCAGGCATTAGCAATTCCACGGATATAATTTACTGATATTAAAAGACACTGTTTCTGTGACAAACAGCAGGATTATACCTGCACTGCCGGTGGTTCGTGTGCATGCTGAATATCCATCCATCTAGGGACGTACACTAGAGCTTTAGCTGCATAACTTACCCGTTCTCTGGGATATTGACCAAAGAAGTCTGGATGAACAGCAAAATAAAATGGCCGTAGAGCGTTGACAGCTTCTGCACCAGACAGAGCTCTCTGCTGAACGAGGAATGAGGTGATCTGCTTCCTTTGTAACCTTAAACAACAAAAGACAGAAATATTCATCTCTATGTTCCTGTTTAATCTGCTATTATAGGAAGAAACAAAAGGATAGATGATTTTAGTAATTACTGTAGATGCTACAGTATATACCGACTCACAGTTCTGACTTTTAACTAAGGTATTAGGAAAAAAAGGTGGCTAATGACCAAACAGTAAAGGCTTGTTGACTGGCTTAGAACATCAGATCTTGTGGTGTTCTAGTTGTCAAAAACAACCCACTGGAGTAGCTGAGTTGACAGGGCTAATAAGCCACACAGGTCAAAGGTGCCATCAACACCTTTGCTTATAGATGTTGGAGATCTGCCTGTTTTTCAGTGTAGTCCTGTTTCTCTGACTGTGACTAACTGGATGTGCTCTCTTCATCCTGTGACATCATCATCATGTGCTTATACCACATGAATGGTGACCCTAGAAAACACATGACATGAGGATGCAATGTGAGAAGAGGAAATTCTGCGCTTCAAAGATTAACTGTCCAGTTTAAACCTGCTGTTATATTGGGAGTGTCAAAGTGTCTTGGTATATTTCTGTTTAAACCAGGAGGGGCCAGAAGAGTGCATTCTCCACAAAGCGTAATTTTGGTCCTCCTCTTTGATTGAAGTCATCCATGGAAGGGTGTAAACATCAGCCCTTTAATAATCAATTATCATTAACTGGAGTGCTGGTGAAGATTCTCAGTCTTCCCGGACAGTTATTCCAAAAAAGTAAAACTAACAATCCACTGGACTTTATTTCCAAGTTTAAAGACGTTTCTCTTCCATCCAGGAAGCTTTTTCAATTAAAAATGTCAGAAATAGTGTTGAGTTCCAGGTTTTATACAGCAGTCCGACAAAGCCTTAGTTTTGTTTAGAAAACATGCAAATTAGAACAGACGAACGGGTCTGCCAGTAACCCAACAACGCTTTGTTGGGCTACTGGCTTTTTAGGAAGAAATGAGGTGACCAAACCCCCATTAGGGGAAGTGATCATAATCTGACCGATTAGAATACGTATTTATATCGTTTGTCCTAAAGCTGTTACCTGCTGGAGCTACTGTACACTACGAAAGTATTTGTTCCCGTTGAAATTTTCAACCTTTTGCCACATTTCAGGNAAGACGTTTCTCTTCCATCCAGGAAGCTTTTTCAATTAAAAATGTCAGAAATAGTGTTGAGTTCCAGGTTTTATACAGCAGTCCGACAAAGCCTTAGTTTTGTTTAGAAAACATGCAAATTAGAACAGACGAACGGGTCTGCCAGTAACCCAACAACGCTTTGTTGGGCTACTGGCTTTTTAGGAAGAAATGAGGTGACCAAACCCCCATTAGGGGAAGTGATCATAATCTGACCGATTAGAATACGTATTTATATCGTTTGTCCTAAAGCTGTTACCTGCTGGAGCTACTGTACACTACGAAAGTATTTGTTCCCGTTGAAATTTTCAACCTTTTGCCACATTTCAGGTTCCAGACAGAAAGATATAAAATCGTAGTTCTTCAAGTGGGACACAATCACTAAGCGGAACGAAATTGATTGAATGGGAGTGTTGGCCTAGTGGGTTAGAGCAGTGCACTTGTGCTCTGAGAGGGTTGCAAGTACCCGGTTCGATCCCCACAGTCTTTGGGTCCCTGACCAAGACACTTAACCCCATAGCTCCCCTGGGCACCACACAATGGTGGCCAACTGCTCCCCAAGGGTATGGGTTAAATGCAGAGACTTAATTTCTCCATTGTGAGATCAATAAAGTTAAATTATTATTGTTTTGGTCTTTATCTTGTTGGAAGATAAATCTCTGTCCCAGTCTCAGGTCTTCTGCAGACTCCAACTGGTTTTCTTCCAGAATGCTCCTTTCTTTGGCTCCATCCACCTTCCCATCAATTTTAACCCTCTTCCATGTCCCTGAACGTTATGGCGGTGCCCATAACATTCAGGAATTTACGTTT